AGTAGACCGGATAACCTGACTGAGGGTTTTCATCAGTTCGTACTGTTAAATGCAGGGATCGTATCCCGAAACAGACAAAGGCCGCTTCCTTGCATATTCTCCGAAATTCACTAGTCATTAAGCTTCTTATAATTCTAAAATAATTATTCTGAGATGCTGACAGCGTCATTAAGCACACCATAAACAAAACAAATAAATGGATAATGTAATGGCGTCGTTAATACCAACCACAACCCCATCATCATGCCATCGGTTAACCAATAGTATTCACAATTAGCCTACAAGCAAAAGACTGGGACTTTAAAGAAACACACACCTCGCTACGTGAATTTAAATATGGAACAATGAGAGTGCAAAGAGAAGTGGATAAAAATAACATCCGGAGATTCAGAAGGAAAGAAATTCTGTTTGCATAGGATACAAAAGCATCATGACCACTTATTTCGTATTTCACGGTCTTCGGGCATTAGCGTAAAAGTCACATTAAGAATTTTCTGGTATAATGGTGTGACTACAAGAACAATTAAGACGTGGTAACTTAAAGTGGATCTTCGCGTGTAAAGTGCACGTATGGTAATTATGAGCTCACGCAGGCGAATCAACAACATCCCTGCCCTCCCACGGAGTACTTCGTCCTATCCCTTTGCGATCTAACCACACGCGCCGTGGTGAGAACCCTGTCCCGTTAACTAAAAGGTTGCACGAAGTTGCGAAAACAGACGGGTCTGATCGACTGAGTTTAAAGCGGAAACCATACGATACTTTAAACACACATAAAGTATATTATTTGCAGGAACGAACTTAGAACATTGGCTTACAATGTGGTAATTTCAGTTCCTTTCAGTTTGCGACACTAAAGCATTTCGTTTATATACATCATGAACCTACCTTACTGTGCAACGAACATTAAACTTTACAGTTCGAATCCAGGGGGCGCATTTACACTTTGAAGTGGAAGAAGAATACATTACATCTGTGGTGACATTTTACAATGACTATTATAAAGATGGCTTCATTATGGGAGGTGTGGGCATTGTAATATGGAAAATACCGATTGTAATTTTTCAGATAAATTTACTGCCTCCATCAACACGGCAGCCATGATTTGCACGGTTCTGAAAATTACATAATAACAGTTATGACCCACGTCAAAGTACTAGGCCTACATTACAAGGACCCAAGAAATGTAACGATCTTAAAAGAAGCCATAGACCCGTAATTTCTGTTCGTACTGCTAATGGTTTTCATATTATTCTTTCAGACTGCACCCTTGCCTAACACCTCTACTTTGTCCAGCTAGTAGAAGAACAAGAATTTAAAGTAAGACCGCGACATTCTAACTTTACTATTCAAATATGTTAACACAAAGGTAGGTCACAGAATCGTATACCAATTATATCGATTATTCGAACCATTTTATAACCACCGATCTACGAAAATAAATTCTAACAGAAGCGTATGAATGGTGAAGTTAATCTTTAAATATTATCTTGCATCTCCCGCCTTTTTTATCTGCAAATGTTGCCCTGTGTATTTGGCTCTAAAAAGCAATTTTCTCAGACTAAATAATTTATGAAATGAAAAGAAATTAAAATTACAAACCGCGTTTGACCAATACCACTGCATAAATGAAAGGACGTGGATCAGACTGTGTGTATGTGTGACTTTTGAGAAGAGCATTTTCAAACGTAACAACCCAGAACAATGGAGTGGCAAACGAAGGAACATCGTCCAGTTCCAAAGTTAAGCCTAGTTACAGAGAGACGGTGTTTTCCCGTCCTCCTCGCAGATGGTTGGGGAGATACACGGACGGAGTTCTCCGACAACGGCAATGTGACTTTAATAATCCATTCAGCAAATCAACGCGCCGGACAGGAGATTCGTATCTCAGGATGTACATGGGCAGATTTGGTTGAGCAAGGAACGGAGAGGCTTGAAAAAGAATGCTGACTTTAAGGGCTGCAGACATCTTAGTGAAATCATGTCAAATTAAAATAGAACACAAGCTCCAATAAGAGCATTTGCAGACAGTAGATTTTATTTAGACCTTGTACGAATATTACAAGCTCATATTAAATGTTACCCTTTATCTGGTGCGTAGCCAATTCGATATAAACGACATTTCGGACACTTATTTTGATCTCAGCTTCAGGTGATTAAAAATTGATGTTATAATTTTACATCTGAAAATAATAGACGACTTCTGGGATAGAACCCGGGACTTTCTGAATTCTACAATAGTATAAAAGCCTGGTGTTGGTTCTAATACATATTACCTCTAATAAATAGCAACAGTCTGAAGACGGGAATAGAACCAAGTATCGCTGCATTTTGTGTATCAGATACAGACAATGAGCACGTCATAATAATGGTACAATGAATTCACCTTTGCCACATACCTGTACACATCAACATTTAAATATTACCTTTATATTAGTGAAACTGTAACACGCTGACACATTTTGTTGTGAATAACAGTTGTGCTAGATAACGGTGCATATGAGTGGTTGGGTTCTGCCTACGTGTGCAGAAAATATGGTGAAGGACACTGAGAAGAACCACGTCTTGTGTGCGTTTCTCTATCCCAATATCGCTCACTGAAAATGAACTGTCCTCGTTGTGGATTATGTAGTTTTCGCTAGTTTTCTTGAAGCAATTTTTAACGAATTCGCTAATGTCTAGATTCCCCACACATTATCGCATTCTAAAGACAAACTATCACCATAATTTATCACGAGACTTCGAATGTCAGGTTCAGAGCTCTGTTACTGTCAGATACCACTGTAAGAGGGAGTACGTGTTACTTACATTGGGCACTCACGAAAATCGTTACCGATTATAAAAACTAAACCAACTTCGCTTCGAGGGGAGCAACGCGCTGGGCCAGAGATAAAGCGCGGGAGACAATGGTAGAAAGACGATTTAGCAGGAAAAACCGAAGGACACAGAGAAAAGCTTGTAATATACTTGTGGGTTATCGGGACACATCGCTTTAAAAATAGGTTAGGTTAGGTTAGATTACGTTAATGTGTGTGGATAAATGACATATACTTGAAAGTTATTATATTTTATTTCAATAAATGACAAAAATGACAAGCTATCGGAATAAAGAATTGATCCCTTCTGTATGTGTACGCGCAGTTTTCCGTCCAATCCGTTTTGTGTCCCGATAACCAACAAGTACCGCTTGTTCTGATCTACTTCGTCACTTACGAATATCGCAAATATGTATACTGTATATGTGTTACAGTTGTTCAGAGTTGTAGAAGAGGAGAGCCAAATCAGTGCGATATGGGTGTCGAAAGGACAACCACGGAATCTCCAATAAATACATGACCGTATAATGTTGTATGATTTGAGGTTTTCACGGCGGTGAGTATGAAGATTTCTGTCTTCTGGGTTGTTGCGCTGTGTAGTCTAGTCGATGTTAACCAACGTTTCAAGGTCACACTGTCTCCGTCATCACGACGATGAATATGAAGATTTCTGTCTTCTGGGTTGTTGCGCTGTGTAGTCTAGTCGATGTTAACCAACGTTTCAGAGGTCATACTGCCTCCGTCATCAGGGCGATGAGTATGAAGATTTCTGTCTTCTGGGTTGTTGCGCTGTGTAGTCTGGTAGATGTTTACCAACGTTTCAGAGGTCGTACTGCCTCCGTCATCATGGCGATGAGTATGAAGGTCTCTGTCTTCTGGGTTGTTGCGCTGTATAGTCTGGTCGATGTTTACCAACGTTTCAGAGGTCATAATGCCTCCGTCATCAGGGCGATAGTATGAAGATTTCTGTCTTCTGGGTTGTTGCGCTGTTTAGTCTGGTATATGTTTACCAACGTTTCAGAGGTCGTACTGCCTCCGTCATCAGGGCGATGAGTATGAAGATTTCTGTCTTCTGGATTGTTGCGCTGTGTAGTATGGTAGATGTTTACCAACGTTTCAGAGGTCATACTGCCTCCGTCATCAGGGCGATCTATGTTCGGAAAATGCTTCATACGATGTAATTCAGAATGTGTTATTTTTCAGCCTGCTACTCAAATCGCAAAACTAAGAGAGCAAATATAATTTTACATATTCTTTTGTATGGTTTGGGGGAATGCAGATTAAGGGCTTTTGAGAAAAGTGTGCTGAGCAAAATGTTGAGACTTGTGGCAGAAGGCGAAACTAAATTAATAATGAGGTTCTCCATAAATTTGTACTCTTCGCCAAATATTATTATTCTGATCACATAAAGGCGGATCAAGCGGGGGACATGAAATAGATAAATTAATAGAAAATGTTGGTCAGAAAACATTAATATGGAGGCAAACACAAAATGTCTTAGCATGTAATATGAATTACTTTGCAACAGATTATAAATGTTGGTAGAATCTGAAATTACTTCACTATTAAGTTCATAACCTGTCAAAAATAGTATTTACTAGCTAATTCAGTTAATTTCTGTCACCGCGTCGCAGTGGGTGTATTTGCGGTAAATAAGAATCAAGGTCATTGATATGTAAAATTGCAAATAAATCGTTTGGAAGATGTGTACTCTAGTTGGAACACGCCTTTTCGATATTGTTAATGACGAGTCAAGATAAATCGTAATTATGATTATTGCAGAAGAAATAAAATATTAAGAAACTAAGTAACAATAATAACAACAATGGCATAGCATGGCTTACTAACAGAAATATTTCAAATATTATTGCTACTATTGTTATTAGATGATTTAGACTAAACGCACGTAACAAGAATTGGACAAATTCTCAAAAACTATGGCACTTCAAGTTATTGCATTTCCTTCGTAATAATTCGTAAACAGCCTTCATGTACTGTGGATATAGGATGTCAAGAAAACAAATACCATTTGTAAAAACTGATAGATAAGAAACAATAAAAGCGACTCACTTTTCCTTAGAAACAATAAATCAGAAGTCGTATTAGAAGGTCAGTGGAACACAGATAAAATCAAGAAGTCAATTTTTCTTCTTCATATTTTCAGTTTTTTTTAAGCCACAAAGATTGAAGAACGTATTACATCTCTACTCAGAGCCACTAGAAGAAACAATAAGTGCTACACTGATTTTCCAAACAACGACGTTAACAGAATCCTGTAACGTGTGTAAACTTAAAATGTTTTAGAGTGATACTTCGGGCATTTAATAAGTAATCTTGAGCAGGTTATACATCATAACGTATCAAGTAGAATCCTAAAGACCATTATTTTTCACTTTCACTAGGAAACAAACTGAAATGCTCTCATAAACACCAACGCTTCCAAGTTAACATGACTGAAATTCTTTACTCCATTCAAACGTGTCGTATCAAAGTCTCGTTTCAATGAGACTTCACTAAATAGACCTATGTGGATTTTAAAGAAGAACTGTTCAAAAAGTGTTTTGTCCGTCTGAAAACGACGCTGTCCATCAGACATCTTCTGTAGTCCGTTCATATTCTATCTATATTGTGAGATACGTTTTTTTTGCTAAAGAGCCGTGACAGTTCTATTGAAACTTCTATTCCAGTGGCAAATGGCAGGTACATATTTAAGAAGGTACCATAAGATGAAGATCTAGATCACGAAAGTTACTGAAAAATGTGTCGAAATATACAAGGAACCGGTGCAAAGTGGCGTTACCATAGATAAGAAACGTGTCGGTTTCTAATATAAATGTAAATTTGTGCTTGTACTCGACCACCGTACCATGAACGCCCACTGAGGAGTGTAAGTCAGGCTTCACACATTCTTAACCTAAGAACTAGATTAAGATGAATTGTCATCTTAAAACACCGACAGTTTTACTGAGCAGAAAGGGATTCTATTTGTTTCTTATTAAAAATTCCAAAATGTTGCAATTCTGACGACTTCTGTTTCGACTTAATCTACTTCAATAATTTTTTATACAAAGAGAAAAAACCATCTTCATATTCGTCGCCGTGAGAACCTCAAATCCTACTTAATTTCTCATATAAGTTCTATATAAATTCTGAGGCTACTACAGTTAAAAAAAAAAGTTTGAAAAACATTGCCTGTCTGAAGCTCGAATATCATCTCAGTCATATTTAATAATTCAAAAAGTACCTCAAATAAAACACTACAGTTCTCGAAAAACAGAGACGTAGACGGGAGGACAGTATTAAAACGTTTCTTGGTAAAACATGGTGGGAGAGTGTGGATTGGATTCATCTGGCTCAGAATGAAGACTGGAATCTTCGGGGGTGCGCAAGAGGTTCATTGTTTTATGACTAGCTTAGCGTACTATCAGCTTCTTAGGAAGAACTATGCTGAGTGGAGTTATTTATTTAGTCAAATGTTGTATCTGCTGAAGCAAATAATTCACTTCATTACTTAATTCACGAACCGATTTAAATGAACCAATTGAGCAAATGAACGAAAATTGTAATGATGTTAAAAGGTAATTGTAAGTACTTTAACAACTTTTATGAAAATAATAACAGGGCAAAAGACACCATCTTTCAATCTTCTTTTACAATCATCTTTGATTAATACAAGAACAATAATAGTGTGTAATGAGAAGAATTAACACACTCCATTCACATAACCTGTAGCTATAACAAGGGATATACACCTTTTACATTTCATACTCTCCCCTTAGTAATATGCTGTTGCTCACACTATAAGTAGTGGATTCCATTTGACCTTAAACAAACCAAAAGAACTTCTACGAAGTTACTAAATATTCGCCGCTTACAGAGTTGTCGCTTCAGAGGTAAAAGTTATGTTGATAGTTTTATATCTTACTATCCAAAAATAGCCAATTACTCGCATTTTTATAATACTTAAAATGCACGACTACGACAGATATGCAGAATGTAGTGTAGTTAATCGTCGCATTGATTGCATTATAACTCACAGTTCACAACCAACATGTGACTCTTTTGTTTCAGCTATGCAGGTCAAGTCTTCAGTTATTCATAGGGCGAGTTTGCTGTTAAGATACGCCTATAGAATAAAGCCGTAAAATACAGTTCATTAACACAGGCATTCTCCGATTGAAGAAAGTTTTAAAAAATCAGTTAATTTGTTTTCAAGTCATTTTCATAGCAGGCTGTTTATTTCTCAGTTTTTTATTGTCAACCTGATGACAAATTCACATTACAGCTAAGTTCTGTCCCGGCAGCTTTTATAACCACGACTGCTACATAAAACCCCTACCTGAACCCCTGATTCCTTGTTGTAAATTCGTATCGACTGCTTGTTGCAAAACGACTTCAAATTCAGTGTAAACACACGCCAATAAAAGACTAGGAACTGAGCATAAGAGAACTTCAAATCATTACTGTGATTATCTTTACTTGTATTCTAGATGTCATCTGTCTCAGATTGTGACGCTTACAGCTGCCAAAGAGTACGAATACTTCTGACACTCCCTGCAAATTCCTAACATCTGTGTTAGAGAGATTAATTGTATGTATGATACCTTCCAGTTTGAAACTTTGTGAGGGCCTTCTTAACACCTCTTGAAAAATATTCACCAAGAAGATGATTGTTGGACCGACTTCTTAATGAAAGAGGTTAGTAGAATGAAAAGTGGATTATACTGACTCTGGATCGCGCACAACGACGTAGTGTGGTACTAATGGCGTTAAACTTTTGGGTTCTATCACTGTGTTAGAAAGTTTCTTACGAATTTACAATTACTAGTCAACACATAATAAAGAACAATTGGTAAGGAGTGGAAAGAAAACTGACTGTATTTAAAGAACTTTAATAGAGACAATGCACCGTATTATTGAGTGGTTAATGTAATAAACAGATACGTAAAGGAACTACAAATTCTAGATTCTGCCATTTGCTGAATTTGCACGCGAACGACTTGTTTACAGAACCGGTGTCTTATATAGAATATCGCCAGATCCGTCCAAATTCGTAATACGAGCTTAACACACACATACAATGTACGGTTCTGCTTTTCCTAAACCTGTGTTTCTTTTCTAAACACGTCACAACACCAGCGTATTAAGTTCAGACAGTCGTACTCTTTTGAATTCACTGGCATTCCAAATGTGTTCTTCACTCCAAATCACATCATTGTTGTACAAATATGATTTGAGGTCACTGTTCGTGGGGGCAAAACACCTGGAAAACTATCGCTGGTAGTCAGGCCCCAACGAAGCAAGCATCCTGCATAAGGGTCTCGGTGATACGCCCCACGGGTTAAATAAAGACTCTTGGTTGTGGCGAAGAATTGGAAGCATTCCTTGGGGGTGTCCCAGGGGCAGCAGTCCCCGAGTGTGGAATAAGCCTCATGGGTGGCGAAGCCCCTCGTGGGCGTTTTCGAACCTCCTGAGGCCTGGCTAGTAGAGACGTAGGGTTGACCAACGTACAAGGCCAAGGCAAAGACCATGGGACAAGATACAGATTATAGCTACAGCATGAATAATAATAATAATAATAATAATAATAATAAAGTATAACAGTAAGAAAAGCAATAAGAACAAAAACTACGATAGAAATATCAATTACAATGAAAGGAACAGCGACTCCATGGTCATGTGGGTTGCAATATATTTATTTATTTATTTACATATAGAGAGATGGGGGGGGGGGCAAAGTTTCCGTCACAAACAATACGTCCAGACACCAAATGTTTCCGAACTGAATATTACCAAGTGTTATCTTAATTTAGTCTGCACTTAACTCCTTCATAAATGTAGCTTTAATTTGTCGTTCCAAAACGCTTAAACTTTGCCACATTTTTTAAGGATTTAATAGTAGTTATCTTTATAATAAGCGTTTGCCCTGCGTTCTGTTTACGGTTGAGTAAACTCAACTGATTAACAATGTTCATCAGACTGTCCATTTCATTCGTGTGTTTCTCAGGTAAAAAACTATTTCTTGATTTGTGTTTTGTGGTTTAATGATGCTGATTAATATGTCAACTGGTTCGTCTGATCAAGTAACGATTCAATTTAAGAGCGCTTGGTGAGAGCAATAAGTTTCTGGTGGTGTAAAAAAAACTGGTCCACCAAACTACTGTTCCTTTTGATACTGTCAGCGGGTCTGTCTCGTTTGAACTGCAGATGACAGGTTCAGAAAGAACGACGCCTTTCAAGCCACGGGCTATTCACACTAATTTATCCGACAAGGAAGTGACATGAATTCAAAAAGGGTGTTGACAGTCAACCTGATCATTGGTACAAGACAAACATAATTGTATACCCTGCCAATGTTTTATGCTAAGTTGTTTTCTAAAGACACCAAATAAAATCTCACTTATTACCTACACCGGTTTTTTAAAAAACTGCGAAACATAGGCCTAATACAGAAGAACCAAGAATGCAGAAAAAGGAAATCTTAATGGAATTGAGCTGCGTGTGTAATAAAGTATGACGTTTCAGAGATGCGTACTGCCTCTATCATCAGGTCGATGAAGTTGTATCCTAGCTAATAATAATCTAGCTAATAATAATATCTAGCTAATAATAAATGACAAGAGAACGAGACAAATCCTATTCACTTAAAAACAGCTTCGTCAGCAACAAAGCCCTTCATATGACTGAAAGTTTGACGTGTGTATATTCAGTTGTAGTTCCATGTTCGCCTTTCTCACCCAAAGACTGTAACAAATCGATTAAATAATTTATTAAAGTCATTCATCCCAATCCCATCCTTCATATCCACCGCCTATCTCTCTGATATACCATATTTTAAATTATTTCATTCATGTAGCTAACCTTTCCATGGATAAATGATATCACCAAAATGTGGTGCTTTGCTATAGGATATTGGAAGTGGCAAATGTCTTGCTCAGTAGCCACAATAAATAACATACAATTTGCTTTTCAAATGTCATAACCGTCCTGAACATTACAATAAGATAGCGAACAAGCACATTTTGGTATTCTAGCGTTCCTATCAGTTTTAAATGAACCAGTTCTTCCCTCAGAAGTTGTTTTGAGGGAGGCGGTGGGGTGTCAAAAGACAACGTCAAAACAAGTACAAGATTAACTATAAAGGTCAGTAGTCTCAGAAAATCGAGTCAACGAGGCAATCCCCGATTTGTAATCCTTACACAACCCGTTACAAACGATGAAACACCTGCACAACCAACGGTCGTGAGTTTCTAATTCCCTCGGCGACACCGTCCGATTCCGCGGTCAACCAGTTTCTAACATACCCGGACAATGTTTGAGCACCCAATAGCACTACGTCCGCGATATTACTCGGCACGATGCACGGTCTAGCATAATAAATACAACGATCCTCATTATTCTACAGGACCAAAGCACACGTAACAGACTTATAATAGGCTTATATGCGGTTTTAAACTTGCACACATGCCATGTGAAAATTATGAGGGTAATTATGTTTATTAACGATGTTTCGAAATGAAACAGTCATGGCGTCTGCTTCGGGAATAAAATGATTGTAGATTGGATTATTGATTAAAAAACTGAAACAACACTTCCTTAATATTTAATGATTTTCCTTTCTACAGGAGACTTTCATTATACGTGAGGTCTGCTTTCCAGCAAATTGCCGCTTGTATCTAATACGTAAAACGGGAAACCTAAAAATGCCCATGTATTTTCTGAATTATGTACTATAAGAGGCCTTAATTTGCAGTCCCGGAAGCCAAAATGCTGGGGCGAGTCAGCGTATAACGAGAGTCACCCGTACATATACTTTACTGTAGCTGAGCATTTGGATCTAAGCTGCAGTAAAACATTCATGATTAAGATAACCGTAAAATCTTCTCGTTTTAAGCTGACAGAGCCATCAGCGGACAACGTAACGAAATTTTTCGTTGATAATGATGAAATGATGTAGCTACTTATTTAAATTTACATGTTGTTGTGAAGGCTGAAGCATCGAGTTCCCCAACGTGCTTAGTGCTTACTGCCACTCTTGAAAGTATCTTTCCACAGAGTTCTACCAACTTCCAAAGACGCATTAACTGGGTCAAGCCCTTGACTTGAGAACTCGAAACTGATTAACGCGTCCTAAAATAAAAGCACGTGTAAAAAAAAGCTTGTTTTAAACGACAAGCGATTTTCAATTACCTTAGACCGCGGGTGGCGGTAACTTACCGATGCAGAATTTAAGATCCTGAACATCTGCGCCCTAGACATTAGTGGTTTCCCAAGAGGAAGCCATGTGTCTTAGAGATCACACCCTTTGTGACCCTGTGTTTCTATAAATAATATTAAACTCTTTATTGAACAAGAAACAAAATTATTTTTGCATAGTACACATTAAAGTCTATGCAAATTGTGCTTCGGACAATATCATTCAGGTATCTGAATGTAGAAAAAGGAACGACGCAGAGTCCAAAGACGACCAGGAATAACGGAAATCACCTTCACAGTCACTAATTTTGTCAGTACTTCGAAAAATTTAAAGCAAATCATCCTACCAATGAACGCAGAAAAGCTTGAAATACAGCCACGTAGATGAAGTGACTAAAAACGGGTTAAAGTAGAAACTTCACGAACTTTCAAGTCATCCACAAAACCACATTTGGTCAGTGCTACCAGTTCCTCCAAATCTCGCCAGAATATGAACATTAAAAATTGCATGTTCAAGGTGGCTTTGTTTTGCACGTTTTCATGGCTCTATTTGTTCCGCTGCTTCCATATTTAGTCCTCCATTTTGTACAGTTTCCTCTTTCTCGCTCATGCATACTGTTTGTCTCATAGTTTGCATGGAATAGCCTAGACTGTAGCTTAGGCAAACACCCTGTTCAAGCAAGTAGTGACTTAACAATGAACTACCTCTGTAACAAGATGACACACTTATCTCTGTTTGCTTACAGATTCGGAAGCCCGCTTCGAAATGGAAGGGTGTGGGAGACATTTGTGTACCGAAGTAAAATCTTTGGGAAACACCTACAGGAAACATGTTGAGTTTGCATCGATAGCACATAAAACCGTAAGGGCAGGCCATTTAGGCACTCAAATTTATCTCCTTTAAAATATCAAATCAAGTCCAAAAACCTCCATCATTGCGTTATTTGACGACACTATATCACCCACTGAAGTCATGTAGTTTAAAGTGATATGATACACGCAGTGAAAGGAGAAAAGAACTGTTTTTCACCAAAGAACCGAACTTCAAAGCCGAATGGTTGGCAATCCTGTTTCGTATCTTCATTAAGGTTCTTGTAATTTCTTTAGTTTTCTTTTAGGTTGGTGCTATGGTAATATTTATAAATAAATTATATTTATGAGTTATTTAATGAGTATGTCAATAGCTCGGACCATATAGCGTTAAATAATATGATAAATAATTAATAACGAACTGGAAACGTTATCGAACTAAGCAGTCATGTTATAATTTAAGGGATTATCCTGATATATTTCTGGAAGGTTTGAGAAAAATGTCCTCAACCAGGATAACCGGTCTCCGAGTCGAGAATTAAAATCGGAACCTCCCGAGTATTCACAGATATTTGCCTGTTCGGTTTGTTAGTATTCATAACATGTAAGTGATATTCTTAAGTTAAAGGTTTAGTTGAATAATTCGTAGCATTTAGAAAGACGAGGCGATAACAATTACGGTTACATAAATACACTAACTACAACTCCTGACTCTCGCGGATATTATTCAGGAGTATTACGTATACACAATATTAGTCAGAAATCCTGAAGGGAAGAAGCCACTCAATTAGTCCAACAGATTCAGGAGTATATGGAAGTACAGTGTTCAGATTTATCTTAAATGAACTGAGTGTAAGAATGTGGACTGGATTCCACCGCCTTAAATACGGTTCAGTAGCCAGTTCTTGGGAAAGATGAGCATTTGGCATCAACATAAGTCAGCGAATTTCTTAACAAATTGAGCGACTAATAATTCTACAAGAAGTTCATAAAATAAATAATTCAATAATCCTATGCTCTGAATTTATAATTATATTATGAATTAGACAGTGTGATCGAGTTTGTGCTCAATTTTTTCTGTCAAGCAAAACATTTCTATGTAAGACTTGAGGTTCTCACAGCGGTGAGTATGAAGATATCCGTCTTCTGGGTTATTGCGCTGTGTAGTCTGGTCGATGTTAACCAACGTTTCAGAGGTCATACTGCCTCCGTCATCAGGGCGATGAGTATGAAGATTTCCGTCTTCTGGGTTATTGCGCTGTGTAGTCTGGTCGATGTTAACCAACGTTTCAGAGGTCATACTGCCTCCGTCATCAGGGCGATGAGTATGAAGATTTCCGTCTTCTGGGTTATTGCGCTGTGTAGTCTGGTCGATGTTAACCAACGTTTCAGAGGTCATACTGCCTCCGTCATCAGGGCGATGAGTATGAAGATTTCCGTCTTCTGGGTTATTGCGCTGTGTAGTCTGGTCGAT